CAAAGCGTAGTTCCAAGAACCGTTCATCTCCCATCTCTTGAGAAACACACCCCACTTCCTAGTGCCTTGATCAACAAGAACCGCTCCCACACCCATCTTCTCGTTGTTGTTGATGTCTTCCTCGATGATTCTCGTCTCAACGGGTGTCAAGAAGTCTTTTCGGATCAGTTTGTGGAAAGGGATTGAGAGACGGCTCTGGCTTGGTTTGACATCTGTTTCGAACAGAGTCTTCTCAAAGATTAGCATCGGGTCTGAGGATCCTTTCAAGCTTCTCATCAATTGGATCATCCAATCAGGCGTATCTTTCCCCTCCCATGAGAATAAAGGTGAGACCTTCTTTAATTTCTTGAAACTAGGGTTTCCTTCTTGCACGGCACGTCTCTTGCGGCTTGTGTTGTTGTTCTCTGTTAGGCACGAAGAGGAAGAAGATGGTGATAGGGAACTAGGGTTTTGTGGGCTTTTCGTCTCTGAGGGAATCTTGTTGAAATCGAAGAGCGGAGGAGAAGTAGAAGCACCAATGATAAGGTTTCGAAAAGGTTTCTTTGACGATGATGATCTTGGTTTTCTTGGGAAGTGAAAGAAGATTCTCTGTTCGTCTTCTTGTTTCCAAGAAACGGTCTTCTTCTTCTCCGATGATGTTCGCTTGTGTTGTTGTTCGTACAAAAGAACTGCATTATCCACCAAAAGAGAGAAATTCGACCACGTCTTCGACTTCAGGAGATCACCGTAATACATACTCATTGTGATTGGACTCGGAGATACACAGCCAAAAAAAAAAAAGAATCAAGTTCTGAGGAAACTAAAGAGAGAGAGAGAGAACGAGTTTTAGAATTGAATGTGAGAAGAGAAAGTGAGAGGAAGAATGGTTTGTGTTTACACTTTATACTATCTGGTCTCGTTGCAATCAAACCCTAAGATCGTCATCAGATATTATAGCCGTTTGTTTAGTTTCCTTTTTTCCCTAGCTCATGTGCAAATTACCGTTAGTCCCTATTTCCGTAATTTCCATTTTTTCACCGTCTTGAAAATTCAAAAAAAGAAAAACATATGACAGAAACAATCCCAAGTAGATTGAGTATGTACGCAGTGGCGGATGCACATTAAGTGAGAGTAAAAAAAACTTGTCCAATGTATATTATCAAAGTATAAAAGTTCTTGCCCCTATGTCAGATATTCATCTTGCCCCCACTGTTTCCTTCTTCTTCGTTTGGTTTCTTTTTTAACTAACTTATGTCCACGTAAATAGTTTACTTGCCTTTTTATATATGGTGATCATTTTTGTAACTAATTAATTTTATACATTAATCAATACATGTGCATACACATATATCTAAGCGACTTGCACTAACTCATTTGTTTCTTATCTGTCAATGGAAAGGTTTGTAAAATTTTTAGTTCAGTGCTTTAAATTAACTGAAGTGATCAAATCTGTAAACTACTTTCTGTAAAATTAACTATTTGTAAGTAATATACGTACTGACAAACCTTTACAAGGATAAGCTAGTATAATTTTAAGCGATTCATCATATATATTATATATTTTCTGATAAATATATACAGTAACTAATTAAAATACGATAAAATAAAATAAGTTTATCATACTTTTTAAATAATTATAAGTAACTGTGTATAAAAATAATAGCAAAGTGGTAATTTTTTTTATATTTTCATCAATTGGTTTAATATATTAAATTATTATTAAAATTTAATAATATTTGTATTTAGATATTTTTTGCCTCCACTAAAAAAATACTTCTAGATCCGCCACTGTACGTGTTGATAAGTTTAGGTTTTACTCATCCACTGTTCCAGAACTCAACCATACTATCATGAGCAATATATACAACAATAAGAATGATATAATCAAGAACAAGCTATCTAAAACAGGAACGTAATAAGCATGCATCATCAAGTCTGAGAAACTCGAGCAAAACATCTTCAAGATTAATGTAAAAGATAAAAGGAAAAATATCAAGCAATCTAGAAACTGAAACTGTATACACAAAAACACATTATATCAAAGCATTCATCAATTCAAAGTTAACATCAGAAACAACAACATTCTTTTTCAGTAACTGTGCTTCCACATCTTGCTTTCTTCATTCACACGCAGTGTCATAAAATCCTGCAGGTGCCCTCTTTTCAAATGGAATCTCTGCGTTATAGTCAATCCCCTTTCCCTTACTCTTCCTATGCTTCCCAACATCAATCCCAGCTGCGTTGAGTTCCCTCCTCTTTTGAAGAGCAGCAAGCCTTGTAGCCTCCTGAATCTGCTTTTCTCTAGCTTTTCTTTTAGCCTTCTTCCCCCTTCTGTTAGCCAACCTAGCCCTAACTTCAGAAAGCATCTCCATCTCATCACCGTCCATCTCCACCGGATCAGGACGAGCAGGCTTCGACTCTGGATTAGGATCAATCTCACCAGAACCTAGTTTCCTCAGATCACCCCCTGCTTCATAACCACACGCTGCATCAAGAAGCTTTTCGTACCTCTCAAGGCACTGAGAAGCCGTGCGTCCCACGGCGGGAGCGATTGTTCTCCACTGAGTAGGCAGAATCTTTGCGAGATGCAGAAGCTTCTCGTCTTCTTCTCTGGTCCACTCGGTTTTCTTGATGGAAGGATCGAGCCACTCGTTCCAGCGAGCTTTGCACTGTTTTGATGACTTGCGAACGCTGAGAGAGGAGATGCGACCCCATTGGTTGTTACCGTATTTCATCATGGAGGCCTTGAGGATCTCATCTTCTGTGTTCTTCCACACACCTCCCTTCACCATATTTCTCATCTTAATTCGTTCAGATTGATTCAAGGTAGGTATAGCGAGAGAGTAACCCTAGATTAGATTAGGGTTAGAAATAACAAGGAAGATGAGAAGATTGAATCAACCTCTCCTCTTTTGTTTGGAAAAGAGAAAGTGAGAGAAATAATTGGTGGGTGTTGGTATTAAATACTAGTTGGTGGTCTTTTGCAATCAAACCGCCTTAGACCATGTCCAACGCTGGTCCTTAAAGGATCCTTAGCGGGAGAACCTATGTAATTGGGCATAGAATATTATTAAAGTCCAAGAGTTTTCAAAGGATTGATCCTTATAGAAGGATTATAAGAGCATCTCCAATGGTGTTACCACCATTGGAGTCCTTAGCCTAATATTTTTTTTCTTTTTTAAAAAGAAAATAGTTAAGGATCTTCATCAAAAATATTTGTCCAATGGTGTTACCCAATTAAGAGTCCTTAAGAATTAAAAAAATTAATATATTATAAAACTTGTGAAATTTTTGTTTGTAGAAAAGAAATAATGTACACACCTTAAAATTTCACTAGAGCATCAAGATGAAGAGCTGCGTGGAACAACAGAGCTGGAGAAGTCCTTCTGAAGATTTTCCTTGGATGGCAATGGCACTGTAACATATAAACCATTAGAGCTTTCTTAAGTAAAAGAAATCTAAAGGACTTGTTTTATAGTTTTGGTTTGTACCTTGCTATAGATTTTTCTAGCAC